TTGTCAGAATATTTTATGACGAGTAAACTTCCAAAAAGCTTCACTGGATAAATGTCTTAATTTTTGCTGTGGTTACTGTGTTACTATGTGTGCTTGATTTGCATCGTCTTCCAGCACCGAAAGCACAGAAAGCACCAATGTTAAGGGTTTAATCTTTATTATAAAGACCCTAAATGGAGTTCCTCTGTAAAAGACAAGCGCTTTCACTGCCTAMTGTATTACAGATTTAAAAAGTTTGATTTTTTTTTTAAAGAAAGCTCTACATTCTTCAGGGTCGTAACGGGACTGTCAGTTCAAACTGTAACAGTATTTGGTTCATAAAGAGTAAAATTAAAACGTACTCATTACAAAGTATGAACATAAAAATAGATTTTCCTGATCTTTATCAAATGGTGCAGTTCAAAATAGTTCACTCCAGTAGTTTTCAGAACACATTGAAACAAATTTCTGAAACGTGGGTGCTCACTCAACGTCAACAAATAACTCTGCTGCATCCATCGCGTACAAGCTTGAGTCACGTGATTAACCTAAAACTAATATTAATGTTTGACTTGTTTTTTTTTTTTTACTATTTCCAGTAAATAAATGCAAGTGGCAAATCAAATGTTCAGTTTAAAGCAGAGGAGCCCAAAGTGGGGCCCGCGGGCCAAATTTGGCCCACAAGCCATTTGATTTGGCCCACCATCAGTTGCCAAAGTTACAAGGTTGTAACCTGTTATCCTATAGGTAGAAACACAGTGTTTCCATTGGTCAAATGACTACCGGTATATAAAAGGGCTGTAGTGAAGGTAGTTTTCAGTCATGGTGCTGACATATCTTTGATTTATTAGGATTAAACAAGAAACATGAAACGACAACAAGAAATATTTAGATCAGATTTAACCCCACATGTAGATTTGCACACTTTATAAGGACACCAAAACTCATGTTATCAATTTATGAAATGTCCCATGAGCCTTTGCTACTTGAGCGTATGGCAGACTTTCTCCAAGTGCACAGTCTAAAACAAAAGAGGGCCATTGCACAGCTTAATGGTTAAAAATAAAGGACTTTACTTTAAAAAAGTTTTTGTATTTCATGTATTATATAACTGCATTTGGCCCGCAGCCATGGATAGATTTTCATTTTGGCCCCCTTGGGGAAAACGTTTGGGCACCCCTGGTTTAAAGACATGCTATGATCTTTCTTATCAACTTTGCAATGAGTACATTTAACTTAGAAATCAGTGGCAGGTTGTCCACGAGCCTTACGTTTACAGTTTAACCAAACAAATCAAATCAAACAAAAAAGATCTGGCTGAACGTCAGTGGATGGCTGTTCTACGTTTAGCAGCCATGTTTTGTGATCATGGCTCTTCAAAATGTTT